TGGTGTGGTGTGGTCTGGTGTGGTCTGGTGTGGTCTGGTGTGGTGTGGTCTGGTGTGGTCTGGTCTGGTCTGGTCTGGTTGGTCTGGTGTGGTCTGGTGTGGTCTGGTGTGGTCTGGTCTGGTGTGGTCTGGTCTGGTGTGGTCTGGTCTGGTGTGGTCTGGTGTGGTCTGGTGTGGTCTGGTGTGGTCTGGTCTGGTGTGGTCTGGTCTGGTGTGGTCTGGTCTGGTGTGGTCTGGTCTGGTGTGGTCTGGTGTGGTCTGGTGTGGTCTGGTCTGGTGTGGTCTGGTGTGGTCTGGTCTGGTCTGGTCTGGTGTGGTCTGGTCTGGTGTGGTCTGGTGTGGTCTGGTCTGGTGTGGTCTGGTCTGGTCTGGTCTGGTCTGGTGTGGTCTGGTCTGGTGTGGTCTGGTGTGGTCTGGTCTGGTGTGGTCTGGTCTGGTGTGGTCTGGTGTGGTCTGGTCTGGTCTGGTCTGGTGTGGTCTGGTGTGGTCTGGTGTGGTCTGGTCTGGTCTGGTGTGGTCTGGTCTGGTCTACTCACCGTCCTGGGACTGCAGGACATAGTGGCCGTACTCCCCGGCGATGCCGAGCTGAGAGGCGTCTGTGGTGGAGTTGTCGGCGTCCATCTGTTCAGAAAACACATGAGTAAGTAATGTTTATTTATATAGCGCCTTTCACAGATGGGGGCGGAGTCAGTACAGGAGGCAGACCTATTGTACATGTTTTTAGTGGTAGGGGAAACCGGAGTACTCGGCGACAGCGTAGTAGTAGTTTATCACAGAGTTTGGAGTGAGAGAAAATGATTAGACTCACGGGGGATTTACACAGTAGGCGTAAACAGCGCGTACGCGTTTACTGCGCGCTCTCTGCGCGTACATTTTTTTTGGAGTATCTACACAGGCCGTGCGCGCAGGTCCGCGGCTTCTGATGCTGTCCCTGTGTAGTCTATGGAGCAGTGTAGAGGACAGTACGAGCCAGAGGACTGATGTAGAGCAACACAAATCACATGCATGTGTTTGTCTTCATGGTCTCTGTTGCTGGTTTGGCCAGACGCGAGACTTTATGAAAGAAAAAAAACGATGTCCAGAATCACTGTAAAACCTGCTGCTCCTCCTGCTGATGTTTAGACACAAGTGCAGTGTGCGTGCAGATGTGATCTAAAGCCAAGGACCGCTAGAAAAATAAAGTTTTACATGAGATTTCAATGGGAGACGCGTTGGTGTGCGCACAAAATTAGAAATCCATCCTAAATTAGAGCGCAGCTTTGCGTCACATGTCCGTCATACGCACGTATAACGCTATAAGTGTAAATATCATCATAGGTTAACATGGAAAAAAGTTACGCGCGTCTGCTGCGCGTATAACGCGTACGTGCTGTAACGCGTGATGTGTAAATTAGCAGTCAGAGTTCAAAAGCACTGAATAAAACTGATGCTAGGGCTGGGCGATATAAACGGTATAAGCAGTATGCGATATAAATTTGGCCCACGGTAGAGATTTTTGTTATACCGGCATATTGCAGTAGGTCATTATGTCATCAAATTGCGCAGGCTCTGACGCCAGCAGAAAGGACCAAAACAAACCGGCATTCAGCAGCATTAGCCTAGCACTATTAGCCTAGCATTATCCTAGCACTATTGGACACCACTGGAAACAGCGAACAGCAGCACGGCATTAACACCGTGTTTCTGTCGCTGTATTGTTGTCACAGCGGCCCCAGCAGAGGTAAATACACACATAGCAATCACAGTTTAAGTCTACCTTTTGGCCAATCAGTGTCAAAGGGGCGTAGGCTCGAAGCGCCAGCGTGTGCCGTGTACGCAGCATCATCACAGCAGAAGTTTGGGAAAGTTAGCGTCAGATAGCTCAATAGCTCACGAAAGCTACTTTGTTAAACAAAATTAATTGTGCCAAAATGACCATTTACATCAACTGTTCAAATCCAATGCGCTGTTTTAATGCACATAAATCCATTGAATCATCCAGTTCACTGCAAGCGCAAAGAAAAGCGCTTAGGGAGCGTCAACAAATGGCAAGACCAGCTTTGTAAACAAACAATAGCTTTTACTGAAGCCATGTACCTGCACAAAACTATCAGACACTATAAATAATGACCATGTCTAACTGCTGCAGGCTTTGATTTCAACATTTGTGAGTGTTTCTATTTTTTAAATGAATACATATGTTTTTCTTTTCTTTTTTAAAATTGCTTTTACAGTAAATGGTCTTTACTGTAACACACATAAATACTGTGTTACAGCATTTGTCTTGTCATTTGTCTCACAACTCAAAAAATATATATACTAGATTCTAATATCTAAATAAGTAACCATCTTGACTATTTTATGCAAGAACCTGCTAGACCTATATTGAAATTCACACACTAAATTATACCGCAATATATACCGTCTACCGTCTGTGACCCAAATTATACCGCAATATGAATTTTAGGCCATATTGCCCACCCCTAACTGATGCCACAGCAGTCACTTTGACGGTTTGTTGTGGAAGCGGTGACTCAGCTTCACATTCAGATTCTGGGTCATTATAACGTTGTGACTTTTTATTTCCATCTGTGGTTCATGGCGTAAAAATAAACTACACATAGTTTATCTTTCATCTTTCCCCAACATTCTGTGGCAGTGAAGGCCCCTTTCTCAAGCTGCAGGTCCTGGTCTGGGTCCTGGTCTGGGTCCTGGTCTGGGTCCTGGTCTGGTTTTTCCAGAGAAGAAAAAGTGCTAGTTACCATAGCAACATGCAGTTTACTTGACAGCAGTTATTAGCCTTTCTACTGTTTATACTGTACTTTGTTAAATTCCAGTTTTTAGCACTTATTATACTGTAAAGTAAACACCTTGAATTACTATTAAAAATGTGGTTTAGTCGGATTGTAGTTTCAGAACTGTTGGGTCATAGTGTTAACTAATACTTGCTTTTCCACTGCGGAGCTAAAGCTCTGAAAACTATAGACCAATAAGAGACATATGTGTATATTTACAGTGCCTTGCGAAAGTATTCGGCCCCCTTGAACCTTTTGCCACATTTCAGGCTTCAAACATAAAGATATAAAAAAAAAAAAAAATTTCAAGAATCAACAACAAGTGGGACACAATCGTGAAGTGGAACGAAATTTATTGGATAATTTAAACTTTTTTAACAAATAAAAAACTGAAAAGTGGGGCGTGCAATATTATTCGGCCCCCTTGCGCTAATACTTTGTAGCGCCACCTTTTGCTGCAATTACAGCTGCAAGTCGCTTGGGGTATGTCTCTATCAGTTTTGCACATCGAGAGACTGGAATTCTTGCCCATTCTTCCTTGCAAAACAGCTGGAGCTCAGTGAGGTTGGATGGAGAGCGTTTGTGAACAGCAGTCTTCAGCTCTTTCCACAGATTCTGGATTGGATTCAGGTCTGGACTTTGACTTGGCCATTCTAACACCTGGATACGTCTATTTGTGAACCATTCCATTGTAGATTTGGCTTTATGTTTTGGATCATTGTCCTGTTGGAAGATAAATCTCCGTCCCAGTCTCAGGTCTTTTGCAGACTCCAACAGGTTTTCTTCCACATGTTTGGTGTGTCTCCCAGGTGGCTTGTGGAAAACTTTAAACCAGACTTTTTATGGATATCTTTGAGAAATGGCTTTCTTCTTGCCACTCTTCCATAAAGGCCAGATTTGTGCAGTGCACGACTGATTGTTGTCCTATGGACAGACTCTCCCACCTCAGCTGTAGTTATCTGCAGTTCATCCAGAGTGATCATGGGCCTCTTGGCTGCATCTCTGATCGGTCTTTTCCTTGTTTGAGATGAAAGTTTGGAGGGACGGCCGGGTCTTGGTAGATTTGCAGTGGTCTGATACTCCTTCCATTTCAATATAATTGCTTGCACAGTGCTCCTTGAGATGTTTAAAGCTTGGGAAATCTTTTTGTATCCAAATCCGGCTTTAAACTTCTCCACAACAGTATCTCGGACCTGCCTGGTGTGTTCCTGTCTTCATGATAGTGATGTGCTGAGCGTGCCGGGTCTTCGAAGCGTGTACCGAATAAAAAAGGGGCGTATTTTTTGAAGCGTGGTTCGAGGCGTGTATTGGTCACGTATGTGGTGACGTTCGAAGCCTCGCGTAGCGGCCGCACCACGTGACGGTTCATATAGTGCTTCATATCGTTCGGAGAGTGCATTGCTTTGACAGGTGCTTTGTGATCCGCGGCTGTACCATAGACTGTATTGGCTGTCCCCGTCTGCCTCTGTGTGCGTACGTGTGTGTGCGTGATGTGGAGCAGTCCTGTACTAAGTATAGAGAAACTACTTCATATGAAATACAATTAAAAACGTTTCACTTTAGTAAAACCTCATATATCAAGGCTTCAAGTTATCAGTAATAATACGCTGGATAATACATTTCACAACAGCTGTGTGGCGCAGTCGGTATATGACGGACTCCGAAGTAGAAGGTCAAAGGTTCGAATCCTGGTCTACCCATAATAAATTTTGTGTTGCAAAGTATATGTATTTATTTATTGGGAATAAATGGTTTGTTGTGTTTAATTAATCCACCTCTTGGTAGTTTTTCCTCCATTCATCACTTTCTGTAGAACTTAGGGGTGGGCGATATGGCCTAAAATTCATATCGCGGTATAATTTGGGTCATAGACGGTAGACGGTATATATCGCGGTATAATTTGGTGTGTGAATTTCAATATAGGTCTAGCAGGTTCTTGCATAAAATAGTCAAGATTGTTAATTATTTATATATTAGAATCTAATATATATTTTTTGAGTTAGAAAATCAGTTGTGAGACGAATAAAGAGACAAATAACATACATTATTTATGTATGTTACAGTAAATACCATTCACTGTAAAAGCAATTTTTAAAAAGAAAAACATATGCATTCATTTAAAATATAAAAAACTCACAAATGATGAAAACAAAGTCTGTAGGAGTTAGACATGGTCATTATTTATAGTGTCTGAGAGTTTTGTGCAGGTGCATGACTTCAGTAAAAGCTGTTTGTTTACAAAGCTGGTCTTGCCATTTGTTGACGCTCCCTAAGCGCTTTTCTCTGCGCTGGATGATTCAATGGATTTTATGTTCATTAAAACAGCGCATTGGATTTGAACAATTGATGTAAATGATCATTTTGGCACAAATAATTTTGTTTAACAAAGTAGCTTTCGTGAGATATTGACCGCGGAGGTCTGAATCTGACGCAAACTTTCCCAAACTTCTGATGTGATGCTGCTGCGGACACGGCACATGGATCTATTTTGGCTCACGCTGGCGCTTCGAGCCTACGCCCCTTTGACACTGATTGGCCAAAAGGTAGACTCTTAAACTGTGATTACTGTGTGTGTATTTACCTCTGCTGGGGCCGCTGTGACAACAATACAGAGACAGAAACACGGTGTTAATGCCGTGCTGTTGTTCGTTGTTTCCAGTGGTGTCCAATAGTGCTAGGCTAATGTGCTAGGCTAATGTGCTAGGCTAATGCTAGGCTAATGTGCTAGGCTAATGCTAGGCTAAGGCTGCTGAATGCCGGTTTGTTTTGGTGCTCTCTGCTGGCGTCAGAGCCTGCGCAATTTAATGACATAATGACGTATCGCAATATGCCGGTATAACAAAAATCTCTACCGTGGGCCAAATTTATACCGTCTACCGCTTATACCGTTTATACCGCCCAGCCCTAGTAGAACTGTATTACTTTGGATGTGTTTGTTGTATCAACACAATTGACTGAAAGACTCAAATAGTTCATAGTTCAGGAAGCATCATTTCAAACACAACACGTTAGACCATAGATTGTAAATATACATTTTAACATTAGATCTCACCATTCATTGTAAGCACTTAAGAGTGTTATGTATTTTTTTGTCCACATGATGGCGTAGTGGAGCATGATTCACCTCGAGCCTTCGACTCATGGGCCGAGTAATAGGCTCTAGAGCCCTGCACGGGCCTATTATCTGGGCCCGAGCCCGGCCCTGGCCCGAGGGGGTGGCGCCCCAGCCCAGCCCGGCCCGATATGGTTTCTGAATTTTCAGGCCCGAAACCCGCATCAAGCCCGCCTTTTTTTTTTTTTTTTTTGTAACCTCCCATAACAATGTTTTAGCGTAGTATATAGTGCCGCGCACTGATATGAACGCAGACTTAGCTAGAGGGCGGAGTTATACATGGTAGTGATGTGTTGCAATGAGGTCTGTGTGTGCGGAGGGGTGCAGAGTAGGGGTGCAACGGTTTGAAAAAATCACGGTTCGGTTCGTACCTCGGTTCAGAGGCCACGGTTCGGTTCATTTTTCGGTTCATTTTTCAAAAAAAAAGTTTTGTCTTTTTAATAAACACAGCTCATGTGGACTCGGCTCCTGCTCTGACTGCCCCCCTGACCTAGAAATGAATTAAGGGGAAGGAAATGGATGGATGGATGGATGGCATATTCCATCCATCCAATTATGTCTATTTAACATAATTAATGGAAAACAACACAAAGTGCAACATAAGAAGGCACTTTATGAGGATATTTACTCTCATATATTAAACCACCTTCCTGATTCGAGGAGGCGCTCCATTCTGGGCCCAGCCTCATTCACTGCATTTGTTTAATTTTTGGCATTATCAGTTGTGACTGGGATATTAGTACTGGGCCTTTGTCTTCCATTCCTCCGCTGCTTGTGTCAGTACCTGTGCTGTGTGACTGTGTGACTGTCGTAGAGGGGGCGTGTCTTCAGCGCCAGACTTCTCATCTCCCAGTCTGCGGTGATGAAGTGAGCGGTTCCGCTCATGGATCTATTATAGGTTCCGCGGGACGTCCAAGCGTCAGTCGTGAGCGCAGCTGAGGATTCGTGGGAGAGTTGACTTTAGCCCTGGGTCTGACTGTGATAAAGGAGCTGCTTAAATGCCGCGACAATAAGCGGTCGTTGAGACGCTTTTTTCTCTCATGTCTTTCTTGTGCCACAGTGCTTACACATCGTGACAGTTTTGTCGACTATTAATTATCAGTGTAGTTACAGTGAAGCCAAAATGCTCTCATACTGGGGATTTAAATGACGCGGGGCTTTCAAGCATCTCCGTTCCTCCGCTCGCAATGACCGCGCTGTGTGTGGACTGAATAACGTGCGCACAACTTTTTTTTCATAAATCAAACCGCGGATCACGTCTGTACCGAACCGAAGACGTTGAACCGAACGGATCACGGATCAGTGATGAACCGTTGCACCTCTAGTGCAGAGTGAACGGCCGCATCTGTATGATGCCCAGATGCTGCAACACATCTGCACATTACATAAGTAACGCTATGTGCCGTCAATGACAACACTACACAGAACAACAAACACTACAGCGTGATAGAACGCTATATTCAGTGGGTGCGCTCGTAAATCTATTCTGCCGCTCTGAAAATGAAGAGCCCGAGCCCGGCCCGTGTCCGAGGTCATTATGCGGTCATCGGCCCGAAGCCCGGCCCTCGGGCTGTCGGGCCGTCGGGGCCCTCGGGCCAAGGGCTCAAGTACAGGGCTCTAATAGGCTCAAGGCTTCATGGGGCTTCATTTTGCCATCACTACTTCATGGTTCTCTCTGCGCTTTAAACAGAACCCTGAGACTATCAAAGAGCAGGTGCATTTATACGGAGACTTGATTACACACAGGTGCATTCTATTTATCATCATCAGTCATTTAGGACAACATTGGATCATTCAAAGATCCTCACTGAACTTCTGGACTGAGTTTGCTGCACTGAACGTAAAGGGGCCCAATAATATTGCACGCCCCACTTTTCAGTTTATTATTTGTTATAAAAGTTTAAATCATCCAATAAATTTCGTTCCACTTCACGATTGTGTCTCACTTGTTGATTCATGAGAACAAATTTAAATTTGATATCTTTGTTTGAAGCCTGAAATGTTGAAAGGTTCAAGGGGGCCGAATACTTTCGCAAAGTACTGTATATATCAATATGGATGACCACTGTCCATTCGTGCTAACAAATGCTAATCAATATTAATACTCCAATAAACATTTCAAAAACACAATTTCCATTATCCTTTAATAACCTGCCTGCTGTATTAACAACACACGTTAAAGTCTTTCCAGATTCTCCCCATATCTCGGCGTGAATACAAACAACAATAAAAACATAGCTCTAATAATTTGCATAGATTTTCAGCCTAAAAACTGCATATTCAAGACCATACAAAATAATAAATTATTTAGCAAGCTTTGATTAATGCAGTGGACATCATAGACTGCCAATATTATACATATATCATAATATTGTTCGTGTAGTTTGGCAGCTGCATACTAAATGCATATTATTTTACCCAACGCAATTATACACTTTTATTAAAACGTGTCAAAAATGTTTTAATTCGTGACAAACATATCACATTCCATTAAATATATATTATGGGTTATGGTTAGGGTTTGGACTCAGTTCGAACCTTAGAACTGGTGAAGCTCTGGTCCTGTCAAAACACCGTGCAGGGAAAAACATCCCAATTCAAAAATAGCAGCATACAAGCTAGCATGCTAACTCCACGCTCAAAACGCTAAAACAATGCACAGGTTTTCATGTTTAAATGTTTAATTATCTGTCGTTTAGCACGTTTTTACCTCGACTCAACATTAGTTTCGTTTCCATTTTGCAAACACGCGTTCTCTTTGTTAACGCACAGCCTGCGGCCTGCTCTATTGTGGCGTGCGGGCTCCGGAGCGCCTTAACCCGGGTAAGTTCCCCTGCAAACTGCGGCTCCATCCAGGCTTCCACACGCGGACAGTGGACCCGCAGATGGAGACCCAGAGGCGGCTGGAGGCTGCTGGAGGCTCGGGCCGTGGTCAGGCGTGTGTTCCGATCATTGGCCGGATAGGCAGACTAACCTGCGGCTGCTGGCGGTGCTGGTTGGCTCGCTGCGGGAAGGCTGAGCTCGCTGAGGCCCGGTGGTTGGACAGAAAATGGCTGCGAAAGAACCAGTCCCAGAGCGAGGCAAAGGCAGGAGGGAGGCCGAGGGAGGGCTGCAGGAGGCGGGCTGTGGAGAGAGGGAGCCGCCGCTAGAGGACGCCACACACCAGGATCAGGATCAGGACCGAGACCAGGACCAGAACCAGGACCGAGACCCGGCTCAGGACTGAGACCAGGACCAGGACCGAGACAAGGACCAAGACCAGGAGCGAGACCGAGACCAGGACCAGGACCGAGACCGAGACTAGGACTGAGACCGAGACCAGGACCAGGACCCGGACCCAGACCAGACCAGGCTCAGGACTGAGACCAGGACCGAGACCAGGACCAGGACCAAGACCAGGACCGAGACAAGGACCAAGACCAGGAGCGAGACCGAGACCAGGACCAGGACCGAGACAAGGACCAAGACCAGGAGCGAGACCGAGACCAGGACCAGGACCGAGACCGAGACTAGGACTGAGACCGAGACCAGGACCAGGACCCGGACCCAGACCAGACCAGGCTCAGGACTGAGACCAGGACCGAGACCAGGACCAGGACCAAGACCAGGACCGAGACAAGGACCAAGACCAGGAGCGAGACCGAGACCAGGACCAGGACCGAGACAAGGACCAAGACCAGGAGCGAGACCGAGACCAGGACCAGGACCGAGACCGAGACTAGGACTGAGACCGAGACCAGGACCAGGACCCGGACCCAGACCAGACCAGGCTCAGGACTGAGACCAGGACCGAGACCAGGACCAGGACCAAGACCAGGACCGAGACAAGGACCAAGACCAGGACCAAGACCAGGACCGAGACCAGGACCGAGACCTGGGCCAAGACCAATACAATACAATACAATTTATTCTTGTATAGCCCTAGGTCACAACAGAAGTCATCTCAGAGACTTAACAAAACCATTGAAATCACCAACACAGGTCAGAGAATCAACAGTTAAAACACATGAAGAATATAAAGCACACACAGAAGAAAATGTCCATACATGTTGTAGAATGCTAAAGTGTCCTGATCATCACCAATCCTTTCTGTTGGACACTAACTGTCCAACAAGACCCCTCCTGCATCGACAAGGAAAAACTCTTAAAAAACCCAGTGGGAAAAAGTGAGAAACCTTGGAGGAGAACTAGGGAAACCCACAGGGAGGGAGACCCATATGAGAAAGGGATCCGCTCCTCCGGACGGACAGGCTAATGATCCAGGACCTAAGCTAGCTACAGAACGTGGACCAGTGGACGCTGAACGTGGACAGGTCCGGTGCAGGACTGAAGCACTCCCAGGCGGGTCAGGCGGGGCAGTCCGCAGGTGTAGATGGAAGAGGCCAGGCTCAGAGATCCCGTCATCGTACCATGAAACAGACAATGGGACAACGGGTGAATAGCAATGAACAAACTACAGTCAGAATCCTAATAATGCTAAACAGATAAAGTAGGAAGGAGGAGAGGATAGTGCTCCAGGACCAGGACCAAGACCAGGACCGAGACTATGACTGAGACCAAGACCAGGACCCGGACCCAGACCAGACCAGGCTCAGGACTGAGACCAGGACCGAGACTAGGACCAGGACCAGGACCGAGACTATGACTGAGACCAAGACCAGGACCCGGACCCAGACCAGACCAGGCTCAGGACTGAGACCAGGACTGAGACCAGGACCAAGACCAGGACCGAGACAAGGACTGTGACCATGTTCAGGACCAGGACCGAGACCAGGACCGAGACAAGGACTGTGACCAGGACAGAGACCAGGACAGAGACCAGAACCAGGACCGAGACCCGGCTCAGCACTGAGACCAGGAACAGGACCAGGACAGAGAGGCTGTAGCTATTAAAGGCTATAGAATCTAAATCCGGCTAGGCTAGCTAGAGGTAGAACAGGACCAGGACAGAGAGGCGCCGACTGCGGCCAATATACTTAGGCTCTACCAGAAATAGGTCCGGCCACGGAGCCAAGGGTGTGACTAAAACAAGACAACAAAAATATAGATATTCAAGTACTTGTGTATTTTTAAGGTAGGTATTCTTTTCTTTTAAGAGGTATATATTAATAACAAGTTATATCAAATATCAATAATATAGACACAAAAAACATGTATGTAAAAAACAAATATACAAGGAAAACAAAAATAGTCCTGAGTTCGAGTTCAGTCTCCTTAGAGTTCAGTTTATCTCAAGAGTTCAGTTTATCGCAGTTTAAATCCATGTAATCCAAAGGAGGGAAAAAAATAAGGTTCGTTTGTTCCTACCACAGTGCAGGTAGGAGGAGGGGTAGGTAGCTCGCCATCAAGTGGTTGGACAAGGGAAGTGTTCAGGGTGGGTGGAAAAAAACCTGACCTGTATAAGGCCAACCAAAACATTCAATTAGACAAATAAATAAAATATAATTTAGCTTTAGCAGCAACAAGTATGCTATATGCAACAGCAAAAACAATCAAGTCTCAATAACATTGTCATCTTAGAGATGATACATGATAAATGGACAATCAAAATACATTTTCAAATGAAGCTTCAGTAAAAAAAAAGTGCACTTAAATCAAAACCATCAGCAAGACAGCTAAGTTAATTTCTAATTTAAAAAAATACACAAATGCATTTTCAAAGGAGTCAAATCGTATTGCGCAATAAAAAAGGTAATTGTCAAATAAGAATTCCAATTCAAAAATCATATAGCCGCTTAGGCAATTTATTCAAAAAAGTTGGAGGAAAGGGCATTAATGGCCATCTACAACAAAACAAAAGACTTTGACATTATGTGCAAAGTGTACCGTACAGTTCGGTTTAAGTAGAATTAAACTTGGCTCAACCAAGAACTTAAAGAGACGCGAATAAGTGCGCTGACCGTGGTTGCACGCATGTCTGTGTGTATGCTAATATTAGCATCGGTGCTACATGGACAATTGCGGTACATAACACAACATAAAACGCAGAGACAACTAATAAAAGGCACTCACCGGTGAGAGGTGGTTACGAAAGGCTTATGAGTGTTCTGGGAAGATGACAGAACCAAAGCAATCTGCAGGGATGCGACGGAATGCATGTCAATGCTATGATACGGATGATTACTTCAACACACAAAACCAAAGAGCAGATTGACTCACCGGTAACTGAATCACAAGAAATACGCCTGTATCAGCGTTCGGCTTGATTCGAATGCAGAATGGAGGCTGTATTTTGTCTCAATGACTCAAAATGACAACGCCACAGCAGGAGCAGCTTGAATAGCAGCGGGACTGAGTAGGCGGATGTTCCAGGTTTAAAGGGACAGGTTTAAGGGAAATGGGCCCGCCAAAATAAAATGACAGGGACGGGGCAGGGACTGAGCCGCTAACTCATGTGGGTTACATCCACATGGTCAGACCAGCGAGTGACGTCCACATGGTCAGAGCAGCGAGTGACGTCCACATGGTCAGAGCAGCGAGTGACGTCCACATGGTCAGAGCAGCGAGAAACGTCCACATGGTCAGAGCAGAGAGTGACGTCCACATGGTCAGAGCAGCGAGAGACGTCCACATGGTCAGAGCAGCGAGTGACGTCCACATGGTCAGAGCAGAGAGTGACGTCCACATGGTCAGAGCAGCGAGTGACGTCCACATGGTCAGAGCAGCGAGAGACGTCCACATGGTCAGAGCAGCGAGAGACGTCCACATGGTCAGAGCAGCGAGTGACGTCCACATGGTCAGAGCAGCGAGAGACGTCCACATGGTCAGAGCAGCGAGGACGTCCACATGGTCAGAGCAGCGAGTGACGTCCACATGGTCAGAGCAGCGAGTGACGTCCACATGGTCAGAGCAAGTGACGTCCACATGGTCAGAGCAGCGAGTGACGTCCACATGGTCAGAGCAGCGAGGACGTCCACATGGTCAGAGCAGCGCAGTGACGTGACGTCCACATGGTCAGAGCAGCGAGAGACGTCCACATGGTCAGAGCAGCGAGTGACGTCCACATGGTCAGAGCAGCGCGAGACGTCCACATGGTCAGAGCAGCGAGGAGTCCACATGGTCAGAGCAGCGAGTGACGTCACATGGTCCACATGGTCAATGTCAGAGCAGCGAGTCCACATGGTCACACGAGTGACGTCCACATGGTCAGAGCAGCGAGGACGTCCACATGGTCAGACAGGAGGAGTCCACATGGGGGGTCATGTCAGAGCAGCGAGTGACGTCCACATGGTCAGAGCAGCGAGAGACGTCCATGGTCAGCGAGAGACGTCCACATGGTCAGAGCAGCGAGTGACGTCCACATGGTCAGAGCAGCGAGTGACGTCCACATGGTCAGAGCAGCGAGTGACGTCCACATGGTCAGAGCAGCGAGTGACGTCCACATGGTCAGAGCAGCGAGAGACGTCCACATGGTCAGAGCAGCGAGTGACGTCCACATGGTCAAGCAGCGAGGACGTCCACATGGTCAGAGCAGCGAGGACGTCCACATGGTCAGAGCACGAGGACGTCCACATGGTCAGAGCAGCGAGTGACGTCCACATGGTCAGAGCAGCGAGAGACGTCCACATGGTCAGAGCAGCGAGAGACGTCCACATGGTCAGAGCAGCGAGTGACGTCCACATGGTCAGAGCAGCGAGTGACGTCCACATGGTCAGAGCAGCGAGTGACGTCCACATGGTCAGCAGCGAGTGACGTCCACATGGTCAGAGCAGGAGCGTCCACATGGTCAGAGCACGTACACATGGTCAGAGCCATGCAGAGCAGCGAGAGACGTCCACATGGTCAGAGCAGAGAGTGACGTCCACATGGTCAGAGCAGCGAGTGACGTCCACATGGTCAGAGCAGAGAGTGACGTCCACATGGTCAGAGCAGCGAGTGACGTCCACATGGTCAGAGCAGAGAGTGACGTCCACATGGTCAGACCAGCGAGTGACGTCCACATGGTCAGAGCAGCGAGAGACGTCCACATGGTCAGACCAGCGAGTGACGTCCACATGGTCATAGCAGCGAGTGACGCGTTTCACAGGTCTCCGCTAAAGTTTAAAAGTGATCTGTGTGGAGCTGATGCCAAGGACCATCAACACAAAGTGTGTGTGTGTGTGTGTGTCAAGATGGCGGAGTAAGGTCTGTTTGCGTAACACTTCCTGTTCATTGATCGAGCAAACTGCCAGTAATATCTAAAGTTGCATATTATCCATGTCGGGTACACGTTCAAAAACCGAGGACAGAGCCAATTGGAAGAATAAACGTCCTCAGCTCACGGCGGAGCACCTGGAAGCTACCCTCAATAAGTTTGTCACCAAAGCTCACCACAATACAAGAGACTTTAAACAAGCCTGCAGCACACATTCAGAAACAGCGTACGGATGTTTCCGTCCAGAACCGTGTCAACATAAACGAGGACACCCTTTCTGGATTTGGCGACGCGTTGTCACAACTGGAGAGCAAACGTCTCGCTGGAGGACCGCAGCAGACGCCATAACTTGCGTATTGTGAATGTCAAAGAAGGCGAGGAAAAGAACAATGCCGTGGCTTACCTCACTGCATCACTCCCAAAGTGGCTCCCTGGGTTAGCGGAGAGTTCACCCGAGTTAATGAGAGCCCATAGGATCGTGTTCCCAACGAGTCCAGGAGAAGCACGGTGCGAGTAGCTGGACAGCCTCATCCGCTTTGCCCTGGACTTCAGCGACATCACAGCCAAGAAAAGGCGCCCCTGCTGTGCACTGATGAACAGAGCCCGAACCATGGGACTCGAACCCTTCCTGCTCTACCCCGCGACGTTCATGTTGACCAACAGCTCCGTAGGTCAGCAGCTTTTTGAAAACCCGGCTGCAGCTGAAAAGTTCCTCTCGGACCACGAAACTTCCAAGTCCAAATAGGGACCGCTCTGATCGGTAAGATTCCTTCATCTGACAATACTCTGTTTACAGACAAGCGCGATGACCTCACTACTTCTCATAACTTAGAAACTATGATCAATTTATCAGACTGTATAAAATATAAATCACAAAACATGATTGAACTTGACCCAGAGAGTAATTTCCTTCATAATCTGAACAATGACTGTTTATATTCTACTGATGATCCCAGACTATAAAAGTTTATATTCTAACTGTGACGGGATCCCAGACTATAAAAGTTTATATTCTAACTGTGACAGGATCCCAGACTATAAAAGTTTATATTCTAACTGTGACGGGATCCCAGACTATAAAAGTTTATATTCTAACTGTGACGGGATCCCAGACTATAAAAGTTTATATTCTAACTGTGACGGGATCCCAGACTATAAAAGTTTATATTCTAACTGTGACGGGATTCCAGTTGAATCAGTTTAAATCACTGTTTAACAGAGACATGGACGTGGACAAAGGCAGCAGGGCATGTTCTGCACAAACCCACAGCGTGAAAGAGGAGTGGCTTTACAGTATTAAAGGAATTTGGAAAGTATTGAACACATTGGTCGTGGTTCTAGCAGCCCTAGTTATCCAGAGCACTATGTGGAGAACGACACACAAGGGTGTATTCAGACCTGAAAAGTCCTTTGCTCCGCTTGCTTGATCCGAATCAAAAGCGGACCAAACTTTTTTCTTTTGCTCCGGTTCGTATTCAGACTGTCCTTTTTGCAAGTGAACTTTTTTATATAAACATATCGACACGTGTGACGATCGGCTCCTATTGGACAGCGAGAGCTCACGGAGGATAGACACGGAACCGGCAGAAAACATTGAGATCGTATGTGCAGCATGTCTGCTCTGCCTATGTTTGCTCTTTTTAGAGCAAAACCACCTTCAACATCAACAGCAGCAGCTCATATGACACAGGCCAAACACGTTGTTTTAAATATTGGAACAGCGTCGGAGAATGCGTGAGGAGAAAGCCGAAGGAGAGATCTGTCTGTGCGCTCCGTGTCATGGATCTATGATAATAACGGCCCTGTTCAGCATTGTGGATAAACCATGGATCTATAATAACCACGGGACAAACAGACGCTGAGGATCAGGTAGGAACCAAAGAACACAATTCACTACATGATGCGGGATATTTCTTTTTGGGACGTGAGTCAAACAGTGTCAGGCTTTTAATAATGCAAATGGTTTGAAGATGCTGCCATTAACATCACTGTATACTGTGAACAGTTTAACTCCATAAGCCTGTTGCACAGAGTCTCCTCACTGCTCCAGGTCTGCACACGGCTCAGTGTTGTTGTGTAGCGTTAGCAGCATAGTTAGCAGCATAGTTAGCAGCATAGTTAGCAGCATAGTTAGCCGCTGCGTGGCTAATTCCTCAGTTTCTGTGTGCGGTGCTTGTTAAGCCCAAAAAATGCGCACGTATCTTGGAGTTGTGTCGGATCGACACCGGATGTATTCAGACCTGATTCGGTTTGGACCAGAATTCGTTTGGAAGCGGACCGAGACCACCTCAAAAAGTGGGTCTCGGTTCGGTTCTTTGGTCCGGACCTGGATTCGTTTGTGTGTATTCAGACCTGCATAAAAGATTCGGATCAGAGTTCCAAACGAATCCTGGTCCGTTTAAAGTGGAGCAAATGTGCAGGTCTGAATACACCCTTGATCACTTCTTTGTTCATGTTGGACCAGAAGTGGCTAAAAAAATCCCTTCTACCAACGAACAACCGAAGGGGCTCATTGAAACTAACTCAAAGTCCATGTTCCTCGCTCCCACAGACGAGAAGGAAGTCCTTAAAAACAAAACATCTCTACAACATAAAGACATTGACATGAAAACAGAAGAAGTTAAACCGTTTACACACATCTGTAACTTATCTTTCCAACTTTCCCTCACAAACGAACACTGCTAAAGTGATCCCCATCTTCAAATCCAGAGACAAACACGTTTCACCAAATATCTGCCAATCTCCTTCTGCCTCAGGTTTCCAAATGTTAGAAACATTATTTGACACAAGACTCCGTGGGTTTATTGAAAGACATCATTTATTGTCATCATTTTTCATGGAATCGAAAAAATACATTTGTAATTGGAATTTTTATTGATCTTCAAAAGGCGTTTGATACCATCGATCATGATACCATCGATCATGATACCATCGATCATGATACCATTGACCATGATACCATCGATCATGATACCATCGATCATGATACCATCGATCATGATACCATCGATCATGATACCATTGACCATTATACCATTGACCATGATACCATCGATCATGATACCATTGACCATGATACCATCGATCATGATACCATCGATCATGATACCATCGATCATGATACCATCGACCATGACACCATCGACCATGATACCATTGATCATGATACCATCGACCATGATACCATTGATCATGATACCATTGATCATGATACCATTGATCATGATACCATTGATCATGATACCATTGATCATGATACCATTGATCATGATACCATCGATCATGATACCATTGATCATGATACCATCGATCATGATACCATCGATCATGATACCATCGATCATGATACCATCGATCATGATACCATCGATCATGATACCATCGATCATGATACCATCGATCATGATACCATCGATCATGATACCATCGATCATGATACCATCGATCATGATACCATCGATCATGATACCATCGATCATGATACCATCGCTCATGATACCATTGATCATACCATCGATCATTCGATCATGACCATGATACCATCGACCATGATACCATCGATCATGATACCATCGACCATGATACCATTGATCATGATACCATTGATCATGATACCATTGATCATGATACCATTGATCATGATACCATCGATCATGATACCATTGACCATGATACCATCGACCATGATACCATCGATCATGATACCATCGATCATGATACCATCGATCATGATACCATTGATAAACAAACTGGAGGCCTATGGTATCAGGGGATAGGTAAATAAATGGTTGCAGAGCTGCCTGAGAGAGAGAGAGCAGATTGTTCAGATCGACCAACACAAATCGAGTTGTAGGAACGTAACCTGTGGAGTACCACAGGGGTCAGTACTGGGACCCACTTCATTTATATTGTACATTAATGAAATATGCAAAGTATCAAAGTTGATGAAGTTCATTCTCTTTGCTGATGACACGATATATGTCCAGGTGACGATTTGGAGCAACTGTTGTCTACAGTAACTGTGGAATTGAACGAAGTAAAAACAAGTAATAAATTATCACTAAATTTAAAAAAGACCAAAATGTTGCTCTTTGGCGATCGTAAAAAAGTAATATTCCATTCAGAATGATAATTAATGATACACAAACAGAGAGTCAAACCAAATGCTTTCTTAGGAGTTATTATAGATGATAGAATCAATTAGAATCCCACATAAGTGACCTGAGAACATAGACTGATGAAGCGAGTCCTTCACTGAACACACATGCTCTGCTCCTGTATCATTCATTATGTCAGATTTATTTTATTGTATTGAAGTTTGGGGAAACTGTTACAAGTCACACAGCCTTTAGTCACTCTGCAAAAGAAGGCTATTAGGATTGTATCATATGTTCACTACATCATTCACACACATTTTAGACTTGGGACAACTTAAACTTCAAGACTTGATTCAATTTAAAAGTGCTCAAATAATGTTCAGGGCAAAACTCTCTCTCACAGAGTTTGCAAACGCTGTTCCATGATAGAGACACGTCAGTATAGACTAAGGAAACAACACTGTTCCATGATAGACACACGTCAGTATAGACTAAGGAAACAACACTGTTCCATGATAGACACGTCAGTATAGACTAAGGAAACAACACTGTTCCATGATAGACACGTCAGTATAGACTAAGGAAACAACACTGTTCCATGATAGACACGTCAGTATAGACTAAGGAAACAACACTGTTCCAATAGACACACGTTATAGACTGAACAACACTGTTCCATGATAGACACACGTCAGTATAGACTAAGGAAACAACACTGTTCCATGATAGACACGTCAGTATAGACTAAGGAAACAACACTGTTCCATGATAGACACGTCAGTATAGACTAAGGAAACAACACTGTTCCATGATAGACACGTCAGTATAGACTAAGGAAACAACACTGTTCCATGATAGACACACGTCAGTATAGACTAAGGAAACAACACTGTTCCATGATAGAGACACGTCAGTATAGACTAAGGAAACAACACTGTTCCATGATAGAGACACGTCAGTATAGACTAAGGAAACAACACTGTTCCATGATAGACACGTCAGTATAGACTAAGGAAACAACACTGTTCCATGATAGACACGTCAGTATAGACTAAGGAAACAACACTGTTCCATGATAGACACACGTCAGTATAGACTAAGGAAACAACACTGTTCCATGATAGACACACGTCAGTATAGACTAAGGAAACAACACTGTTCCATGATAGACACGTCAGTATAGACTAAGGAAACAACACTGTTCCATGATAGACACGTCAGTATAGACTAAGGAAACAACACTGTTCCATGATAGAGACACGTCAGTATAGACTAAGGAAACAACACTGTTCCATGATAGACACGTCAGTATAGACTAAGGAAACAACACTGTTCCATGATAGAGACACGTCAGTATAGACTAAGGAAACAACACTGTTCCATGATAGACACGTCAGTATAGACTAAGGAAACAACACTGTTCCATGATAGAGACACGTCAGTATAGACTAAGGAAACAACACTGTTCCATGATAGAGACACGTCAGTATAGACTAAGGAAACAACACTGTTCCATGATAGACACGTCAGTATAGACTAAGGAAACAACACTGTTCCATGATAGACACGTCAGTATAGACTAAGGAAACAACACTGTTCCATGATAGAGACACGTCAGTATAGACTAAGGAAACAACACTGTTCCATGATAGAGACACGTCAGTATAGACTAAGGAAACAACACTGTTCCATGATAGACACGTCAGTATAGACTAAGGAAACAACACTGTTCCATGATAGAGACACGTCAGTATAGACTAAGGAAACAACACTGTTCCATGATAGAGACACGTCAGTATAGACTAAGGAAACAACACTGTTCCATGATAGACACGTCAGTATAGACTAAGGAAACAACACTGTTCCATGATAGACACGTCAGT